TTTAAAAAGGTTTTCTGCCTTTCAAGGTACAGATTTAGGTGCTCAATGTTTTTACCTCATTTTACTTTCTTCAGGACAAAAACAGGAAGCAGTTTTTTAAGTCTTGTGATTCTGCTTGTGAACATGTGATGAATGTACCTGGACTAGAATAGAGGATGGATTTAAATCCGTTTCTTTGCTCCTTTGATGTAAGAATTGTTAGCATCCCGTAGGAAAGCAGACAGCTAATCTTTAAAATGAACAAAGTTACACCTCTAATTTACCTTTGTTTTTGAACCAGGCACGGATGATGATCTTGAGTTCTATGTACGCAAATGTGGTGAAATTCTGGGTGTGACTCCAAAGTTGGATAAAGAGCAGAAAGACGCAAAGCACATCTTGGAACACATTTTCTTCCAGGTGGCAGAATTCAAGAAACTTAACCAGGTGAGATGGCAAACCTGGATTCTTAGGGGCTCAGTGTCCTGCAGACATTAGTGTCCCGCTCCAAGGTGCTTTAAGTTGGCCAAATAACCACCCATGTTGGCAAATCCTGTAGAAGCATTCCATTTTTGTAAGAGTTTGTAGCGTGGACACTTTAAGGACTTGCAGAGCACCAGAGTTGATGCTCCTGATAGGACTGCTGTTTTGATCTTTAACTGAACCTCATGTTTTATTTCTTGCAGGAACAGGACGTCGATTCAGACGCACAATCTGCTCCACTCTAACCAGAACCAATCATTATGGACTTTTTCCTTATGGCCTTAATAAACCACATTGAGACAAACTTCAGTGGCAAACAGACAACATATATAGCATTTTGCATTTCAAAACATGAAAATAGTTAAATACACACACTTTATTAGGAAAAACAAACAAACAAATCTTTAGATAAAATGACCCAGATAGAAAGCACAAAGTCACCTCATTTCTCAAACTCTGGTATTCCTTCCACCAGGTTTTATCCAGTCAGCTTGGGTTTCTGTTGGTCCTCTATTCAGGTAGCAACTGCTGCTGGGGTCTTGGACTTGCTGTTAGCTCCTGAGTGCTGGCCTCCAAGAAGAGCCAGGGGCTGTCGCTCTCCGATTTGATCAGAGAGACATCCCATGAGATTTGTGAGGTAGTGAGAATGCAGTAAGACTGGTCAAAACGCATGGCATTTTGGGGTTTTTTGAAGAGCTCCTGGGGGGTTGAGGTTGTTCTCTGCAAAGGAACAGTGAGGTTAAAGCCGTCCACTTCCTGCATTTTGGAACCTTGTGGTGAAAACCTGCCACAAGGAGAAATTGGATCTGATGAAAGGCAGAGGGAAGCCAGGATAGATGGCTTGCCTTCAAATCCATCAGCTCTGTTGCAACTGAAATTCTTTGAGGACGACGATTGTTCCAGAGACAAAGCTGACAGCAAACCCTGCTCTTCTAAAAGCCTCCTGTCCAGCTCAGATGGGGAGGAGCACTCAAAGCTTTTCAGATCTAGAAAGGGGAAAAGGTTTTTTCAAAAAATTGACCTAATTTGATGTCGGGTATCAAAAACATTGGGCCTTACCTCCAAAGATAAAAGCTTTCTCCATTTTTGTCCACAGGGCATGAAATGGTTCAGTGAGCTGCTGGTGGGTTTTACCTGTTTTAGCTGCTGCTTAATTGAACCAGCTGAAGTCTGGGCAGGTCATTAGTGTGATCAGGAGGGGGAAGTACTTCTAACTTTGCACAAATGGAAATAGTTCTAAAAAAAAGAAAAAAAAATCAAAATGTAAACAAAACTGCATCAACTTCCTGTATTCATGCATGAGGCTAGAAAAAAAGGATAGATAAGAGACCTGGTTTATGATCACACTTTTTTATTTTTATTTTAGCATTTTGTTATTAAATTACTATAAAAGTCTCGAGCCTTCACAGGGTTTGGGACCTTAAGCAGATGTGGAAGTTATTTTATGTTTTCTGTTTTAATGTCATGTGTAATGTTTTATGTAATGTGTTTTCAACAAAACAATTTTACCAGTTGACCAACTATAGTTCCTTACGTTCTTTAGATAAAGGGATAACATAACTTTCAAATATTGGCAAGATGTTTTTTTCAAAATAATCACTTTTTTTTTTTAATGTCAGATGTCAGAAAATGACAAAAATGTCCTCCAAAAAAAAAAAAAATGAAATGGGTTTTTACTCTTTGTTCTTTTGGTGAAATTGATTTAATGTACAAGATTTAACTTATAAATGCCAGTTTTTTCACCGTAATGCACATATATATTTTCTTATGTGGAAAATGAAAATTTCTGAGTGACTATCAACTATCTTAATACTTGCCTAAAAGGTAACAAAATATTTTTTTAGATTGTTCACAGTTTAGAATAGAATTTATTACAAAATATAATTATTCTTCTTAAGATGTTAGGCTGTTACGTTCATAACATTCAAAGTTTTTTCCTATTATTTTTTCTTTGTCATATTTTACAGTCTTGTGTGTACTGTTGTGTGGAAAAAAGTTTTCAAATGTTTAGTCCAGTTAAATAAAGGAGTTCGATGGATTTACTCAGTCGGCACTTTATTTACTTTGCAAATTAAAGGAGAACAAGACATTCACATTCACAGCATGATGGTCTGCCAAGTTCTAACCTAGACAAAGTTGTTTCCTTACTTTTAAGTCAGAGTCAAAACAATAACAGACACTTTGGTTAAACAGTTACCTTGGAAAAGTATGTGGTTTTGTTATGGGAAAAAGGTATGTCTTGTCTATAACCATCTTCCATTAGTGAGACAAACTAGCTGACAAAAAAAAAAAAATAAAATTTGTCCGACAACAGTACTGTATGCATCTTGCCTTTTTGCTTTGCAAAAACCCCCAACCTGTTGTACAGTAAATGTATTTCAATTCCACTTTTATTTATTTTTATTTATCACCATTAAAATTAAGAAAGTCCTCTATTATGGGGATTCATATGTATTACTTGTTCCTCATTTTACTTTTTTGTGTGTTTGTTTTCAGCAGGGGCGGAGCTAGATGGGGGGCCAGGTGTGGCATTTGCCACCCTTAGGCAATCCTGTGGCCACCCCTACCATTTTTTCCCTCTAATACAGATGGTGGCAGCAGTAATACTCTCAAGTAGAAAATTCTAAACATTAAAAATATTTGTGGTTAATTATACACGTCAATATACTAACATCAATGATAAGTACAGAGTTCATGTTCTCTTCAGAACTAGATTTTGTGTTATATGGGGTAAAGAGAAAATGATGTGTCTCTGCAAGTCATCTAGGAGTCTTCAGTTAAATCATAGATAAATAACAATTTTAATAAAAACTTCATTAATTTATGTAGATGTTAGTGCTTTTAAATACCAGTTTTAAACAGAATTTTTTTTTAAACAGATAGGTAAGTAATGACAATGGAAAAAATTTACGCCTCTTTTATACACTACCTTTTATCTAGAAATTATGGATGTTTAAATATATGTGTCTACGTTAGGCTGTAGGAAGTCCTTATGTAGAAAATATGGATGTTTTGCTTGTTCATTTTCCTGTTGGAACAGTGTAGATAGACCCAGAGGTTCTGGTACCTATCCACTTTCGGCCACCCATCAGTGTACATTGGTTATTGCCTGGCCACCCTTATAAAGGTTTTCTGGCTACGCCTCTGATTTTCTGATTTAGGTATGGAGGGGGACAAGTAAAAATTGGCTCTGTTCGAAAACCTAGGACGCATCCTTAGAAGACCGGATTTGAAGGCCGATTACGTCATAGCGCGGCGCAGAGGTCTGGTCGGATTCCAAGAGTCCTCGTTATGCGGCCTTAAAATGCGTCCTTCTTTTTGCCCGATTTGAAGGACGGGTCTGATGTATCCTCGGTATTCTTGGATATCCCAGGAGTCATTGCGAGACCAAGCAAGCCGTGATCAGAGTAAAGGTTACTTGGCGCCGAACAGTGGTGAAAATTGGAAGTTCAGTTTAATATAATACAAGTCATTTAATAGTTCCGTCTGAGATTAATGAAAATAGTTGTTTTAATGGTTATAGAGTCAGATATGTGGCGGTAATGTTTGATTCATCTAAAGGTTTTTATCTGTTACTGTGTAAATGGGTTTGGCTGGAATTTAAGGACAGATTCTAATATATTTGCAGGGTGGGGACTATAAATCTGATAGGATTTTTATCTTTTTATTGCTGTTTTGCACAATATGCTTAACTTCGTGTTTTTTGTTGTTGAATATTAGAGATTTTGCAGATATATTTTTTATAAATATATTGTTTAGATTTACTTATATCTTTCTACCCCTTTTATAAAATAGAATAGAAAATCCCTTTATTTTCCCACAATGGAAAAATTTACAGCAGCAGAAAGATTATTGAAAATGGTCACACAAATGTGGACCTTAGAAAAATGTATAAGAATAACATAATAGGGAAGAGTTAAAATATAAACAATACAATTCTGTAAAGTGTTTTAACAATATAAAACTGGGGAATAAATAACCAATATGCAGCTATGGAAATGTTTACAGTAATGGATATTAGAAAATAGCAGCAGCATCAGAGATGTGCAAAATGACAGCAGCATTTTATTTAACTGACTAAGGTTTCTATCATTACATTTGATTTTATTTGTTCCTGCTCCCGGTGGTTGGAACCTTTATTCCACTCTGGATTCTTGTGAGTGTAGTCTTTGTTCACTTCACAATAAAAAAGAAATAAATAAACAGTTATGAAAACTTCTGTATTCATTCTTTTCCTGCTTTGTGTGTCAACGTTCACGGTTGCTAAGCAACAGAGCATACGGCGGTAAAAACCCGCCGAAGGGTAGACCTGGTCGAATTTACAGCCAAAACTCTTCCGGTCTCCTTATTTTCAAGGACTTCGAAGGATCCAGTCTAGGTAGACCGCGTCCTTCGAGGACCCGTCCTAGGTTTTCGAACAGAGCCATTGAAAGACATTTTGAGTAGTTTATTTTATTTTGAAAGTCCAAGAGGAGGACTACCATTTCCTCATTCTGCTCTCTGCGCACATCCACTGCGCACCCACGTCACCGCTCTGGTTGCTCCAGTCTGGCTCCGGGAAGAAGGGCGCGAGATAGAAATTTCTAAGCGCGGAAGGAGCGATCGTTCCGCCGCAGCTGATCGCACCCTGACTGTAGACTTCAGCTCTAAAACTCCACCTCCTGCACTGTTGGATGCCTCTTCAAATCCTCCATAAAGTGCTGAAAGTCGTGATATTATCAACTTTATTTGCACATGACGTGCAGCAGCGGTAGGGAGGATCACTGGCGCACCGTAAACAAGAAGAAAACAAGGGAGGGAAATGTCCTGGTGGGCGCGCGGGTAAGAGACCGCTCTCTGCGGACTGAATTACTCTCCAGTCATTTAAAGGATTTCCTGGTTATCAAATAGTGTTAATAAAATTATGCTTATTGGATAAAAAGCCAATTGAACACTTATTTTTGACCTGCGACTGCCGCCTTTTTTCAGGCTGGGCCTTTATTTTCCTCCACCCTCTTTCCTTATAAACCCAGAACTATTAGATAAATCACTTCTTTTATAAAAGACGGTCCGATCGTGAATAGAAACAACAAACCTAGCCTCATATTGGCTCCTAAAGCTGAAGCCACTGAGCCTGTTCTCCAGTTCATGATCTCATCTGTCACCCATGTTGTTTTTGTCTGGTTCCCAGTGAGGATGGAGACGAAGCCATGCATCAGGATACGGATTCTGATGTGGCTGAGCAGAAGGAAGGAGGGAAGGGGAAAGTGAAGTGGACACAAGAGGAGGTGATTGTTGGGACATGTCCCAGTCCTGCCGCCATTTGTTTCACTTTGGGACAGCTGACCTGAACAGGCCTGTTGATGTTTGCAGGATGACAGACTCAAAATACTGGTTCAGAAGCTGGGCTCCGATGACTGGAGGAGCATAGCCTGCTACTTCCCAGTGAGTGACTCTTCTAATCATAATTGTTGCATGATTAAAAACTTAATTGATTAAGAACTGGAAAATGTGTTCTTTCCTGTTACAGAATCACACAGAGCAGCAGTGTCAGCACCGCTGGTTTAAGGTCCTGGATCCAGAACTGGTTAAAGGCCCCTGGACCAAGGAGGAGGATGAGAAAGTGGGTAACACTTCGGTTACACATTAGAATACAGAATGGTTCCCCTTATTTTCTAACCTGCTCATGCATGTCGTTAACATTTTCACATTACAACTGCAAGACTTTTGCACTTTTAATTTGATTTCTTTACATGTTAGCCGTCAGCTTGGATGGAGATTGTCTTGAATTTCTGTCTGGGCTTTGACTAGACCATCTTCATACATACATACACTTTCATCTATATAATCGTATTGTAACTCTGTATGTTAAAGTGTAGGTTCATGGCAGGTGAGTTGAAAGTTTTTGCAGCTTGCAGGGTTGCCTTAATTTTTAGCTCCATCTATCGTCTTTATAATTCCATCCAGCTTCCTTGTACTTACAGAGAACAAGCATCCTCAGACAAAATTCTGCTTTTACTGTGGGGGAATGGTATGCACCTAGATCTGGGAGTGGCAGCCTAGTGGTTAGAGCAGTGCGCTTGTGCTCTGAGAAGGTTGCAAGGTTCGATCCCCACAGATCAATAAATCTAATCTTCTAATCTCTAAATTTGTAAATAAAGGTCAATAATTTGGACAAATTTGATCGGATTTCAATTTTTTTCCTCTTTTCAACTCATTGATACGAGTGACATCAGATCTTCATCTGAGAGAAAACAAGTTTAGAAGTTATGAAAACATGTTAGAGGGGAAAACTTTGTAGCCACACAACGTTGAGAACAAGAATCATAAATTCATATGCATAAATCTGTAATTCATATTCATTGATTTATGTACTCATTACTTTGTGTTTTGTACTTTTAAATCTGTAATTTCGTAGTAACAAATTTCTTATTCTTACACATAACTTTGCGATTACATTCATTACTCGCACTTACAAATGTATGCTTGTAAATTTTCATTTCTTCTGCACATTTGTAATTCATATACGTAGGTATGTTATTCAAATGCATGAATTTTTGGATTTGTGATTCGTACTTGAATTGTTGCAGTGATTTTCTAGCTTGTATTTATAACTTCTAAACTTGTTTTCTCACAAATGAAGATGTCACATGAATCAATTGGCTGACAATGAACAAACACAAATCCTACATTTATTAACATTATTTAATTTAATTTCCGAGCTTAGACATGTAGATATTCGATTTTATTGACGGTTATCTTGTTCAGGGTGGTTTTCAGTGTTAGGTTTTCTGTCACTCGTCTGACCTCAGCACTTTGTTCCATGATTTATTGTTTATAAGGTTTGCAGTACATTTTCAAAAGGGTTTATTTTTCTTTCCTTTGGCTAGTCCCCTGAAAATCCTTTTTAAACATCTAAAATATTCTTTCTGTCATGATTTGTGGACATTAAGTTCTAAAGAGAAGCATTATCTCCTGGCCAGACCTTGCAATTCAGTGATTCAGTGAGTCAGAGTAAAAGAAATGTGCAAGTCCAGGAGAAGATCAGTGGCTGGAAGTTGGAGGAGATTTTGCTGCCATTTGGCTGGCTTTTGACTTGGAAGGGCAATTTTAAATGGCTGCTACTGTATCTGGATAGGAAGGATCGCAGTTAATAGGAGGTGGAAGCTTTTACGAGGTGCCAAATTGGGATCTGTTAAAACATGAGAAACATTTCTCCCTCCAGGTCATAGAGCTTGTGAATCTCTACGGCAACAAACAGTGGGCAATGGTGGCCAAGCATCTGAAGGGCAGGCTGGGTAAGCAGTGCAGGGAGCGCTGGCACAACCACCTGAATCCCAACGTAAAGAAGTCATCGTGGACAGCTGAGGAAGATCTCATTATCTACAAGGCCCACTGCCTGCTGGGAAACCGCTGGGCTGAGATTGCAAAGCTGCTCCCCGGAAGGTCGCTAGAGTCCCAGAGAACTGGTCTTTTTATATTCTTTTTCTTATAGACAGTCCTAAAGATCTGATTGCATAAACTTTTCTTCACAGGACAGACAATGCTGTGAAGAACCACTGGAATTCCACCATCAAACGCAAGTTGGAGATGGGCTTCTACTCTCGAGAGGTGTTCAGACCAAATGAGCTTGATGAGATGTTGGCGCGCTTAAATGGAGACATGCAGGTGCATCTTTTGGCCTCAACACTCTGTGTATATATATATATATATATATATATATATATATATATATATATATATATATATATATATATATATATATATATATATATATACTTGTGTGTGTGTATTGTGTGTATAATAAATGTATATCTTGTCACTCAGGGGGCCAGTAGCTCCCAGGATCCTTCCAGCAAAGAATTGGACCAGAAAATCATACTTTCAGTAAGAATCTATTGTATTGTTTTGTTTCAATCAGTAATGAATCAAAACCATGCAGGAATATTTCAACCCGTTGAACCTTTTCATATTTCGTCAAATTTATCTTAAAGAACATTTATATCTTCTACAGATGTCTTTCTACGCGTTTCTCCTCCAGATTTATTTAAGGGTGGTTAATAGAGTTTAAAATGTGTATATATATATATATATATCTATATATATATATATATATATAGATATATACACATTTTTTTTTTTTTTTTCGCTAAAGATGCTTATTTTTATTCCTTACATGTTTTTGTTTCTGTCTTTGTCATAACAGAAATTCATTATGGTTTAATTTACACCATTAATATTCTTGAAAACATGTTTAAGTTGAAGGGGTCTGAATACATTTTTAAGAGCATAGATATTATTACAGCTACTATCTGTGCTGCTTTTTTCTGCACAAATTGCAGGAAACGGCAGCACCTGTAGCTGTAACCACCGATGAAGCAGAGCCGTCCAAAGCTGCCTCCACACCCAAGAACAGTGCAAGCATCAAGAGTGATGATGAAACCAGCGAAGAGCCAAATGGGACCAACTGGGTGGTTGACAGCTCCGGGTTTCTTTCCCCTACGGGACCCGCGCTAAAGGAAGTACTGGAGATGGTGGACGGGGTAAATATCTATAAATACAGCACACCTCAGACCTGTTAAGTCTAAGAGCTTAATCTATAGAGCATTATGATGGTTTAGGACTTGGACGGCTGGTGTAACCTGGCGGCGTTCGACCTGCCGGTGGACAGCCCCAGCCCGGAGCGGCACCAGTTTCGCCTGGAAGGCAGCGCCCTGCAAGAGCTGAGCAAATGCAGCAAAGGAGAACTCATCCCCATCTCCCCCGGAGGGATCAGCCCACCGTCCATACTGACCCGCCGCAGCCGGAGACGCGTCACATTGTCTCCAGACAGCGGCCACTCTATGACGCCAAAGAGCACTCCTGTCAAAATCCTGCCTTTCTCTCCATCTCAAGTAAGCCATCATACTGTTTATATCTGGGAAATTCTTTAATCCAAAGCTGATGATCACTGTACAAAAAACCCTTAAGTAGTTAAAGTTTCGATGTTGGGTACTGCTGTTTAAAGTTTCTGCTCAGCGTTATTTTGGCCCTTAAGGCATGCCGTAGTTAGGACAGCGATGACATCATCACGTTGCCATGACGAACGTTGCTGCTGCCTGTTGGAAAGTTCGGCAGTTACAGTGGCTCAATTGCTAACACAGGGAAGGGACACTGATGAGTACGTTTAATATGTGAGTGTTTATTGCAGTTAAATGAGTTACTTTTTCGCTCTTAGTTACCTGTTGATAAGTCTTTGTTATCTGCTGTGTGTGTATTGTAGAGTGTTGTGTCGAACCTACGCATCCACTAGATGGCGCCAAGCCTTGATTGTTAGCTAACTTTTGTCGTGTGCTGATTAACGGTACATTAGAGGTTGAACTTTTTAGAGTTTAATTATTTCCTCCTTAGCTTATCAATGGTGTGATGTGTTATTATAGGGTCATTTGAATTATCTTCCTTGTCTTGATTTAGGAAACCACACTTACATAGGCACCTACCAGCACCTTATGTCCATTTATGTTCAATTGGAATCCGAAATTGAGTTTGGAATACAGACCAGTTAAGGGATCCTGTCTCATGTCTTCATTCTCCACCTGCTGCACCTTCTCCTTTTTCATTTTCAAATCATTGTTGTGGTAAAAAAAACAAAACAAATTAAGGTCAAATTTGCCAACAAAAAGTAGATATATCATTTTGACATTTAGCTTTTGTTATATTTGTTTTGCATTTTGTGGTTAATCGATTGTTTTAGTGAAGATTTGGAGCCAAAATCTAATTCTAATTCAAAATTCTTTTTTTTGCCTATCTAAGCAACAACAAAATGAAAAAGCACTTTTTTGCTGCTTTCACCAAGAGATGGCAGATATATGCTGGTATATCACAACAGATACCTACTTAGTAAGACAGTCAGGTCTAATTAATTTGCAAAACATAGTCCAATCAATCCAGACATACTGACAGATTTTTGTTTAATTACCCTAATTTAAATTTAACTTTTATTGTATTTTTAAGTGAGAAAGTCCACCTGGAAACATCATCTGTGCAGTCAGTTCATCAAAATTACAATCCTGCCCAGTGCCTTCAAATATTATTTCGCTGTCTGAGCCGCTCAGACCCCCACATAGCACTGTCACCTGGAATCCCCAGCAACAGCTGCCAGGTCGCCTCTTTGGAGATTTTCCCCTAATGTTGGTGGCGGCTGGATGTAGATGTTAGCGTTTTCCAGGTATGCGGTACAAGCTGCAGGCAGCATAATGATAAAAGCAAAAATATTTTGCACGCAGGTTTTGACATTTTAAGTTAATTTAGGCGTTGATAAACAGCTTCAGGGGAGAGATCATTGCGATCCGCATCAGCAGTGCTGTATCTGTCTCCCTGCCAGCTCCAAGATCAGCTTCTCTGATTGGTTGATGTGGCCCTGTCAAGCAGCAAAAGTTCAATTTTTCTAACTCAATCAGCTACCGATTGTGATGATGCTCAGAAGCTCATGAGGCGCTGCTTCGGCTGCTCAGATGTATCAAGTTGCACCGCTCCTGCTGCTCCAGATGTGCTGCAGGACCTTTTGATGTGCCTTGATATTCTTCAACCATTGACTTTGCATGTAAACCAGCTGCTTCTGCTGCTCAAAAAGGGTTCGGTGTGAATGTAGCATAAGAGTCACAGGCTGACTTCTCTTTGCGCCTATAAACTGAGAGGGCTCCTGCTGTGTTGCCCATCTGACTTGTCAAGTGGCCTTGGGCGAAAAATGCTTTAACGATTAGATTTGTCTCATTCTAAAACCTCTGATGCTATTTGCTGTTTTCTTTTTCAGTTCCTGAATCTATGGACGAAGCAGGACTCCCATGACCTGGAAAACCCCTCCCTTACGTCCACGCCAGTGTGCAGTCAGAAAGTCATTGTGACCACGCCGCTGCAGCGTGACAAGACCCCCCTCACCCAGAAGGAGAACTCAGTGTGAGTAATGAAAACTGGGCCAGTTTTTCAAAGGTAATCTGGTTGGATTTTGGAGAAATAATCTTAAAATTGTTAAAGTCAAATAATTAAGTAGGATTAGATTTGGCAAACCGATCCTGGTTTTAGTCTGTGTTAAAGTTTTGACTAGATTCAGAGAACATTATTCAAGAGAATTAGGATTATTTCTAAATCACAGCAGTTTGGTTGATTCAGGCTGGAACTCAGGAGTAGATTAAAATTAAATTAAAACTTAAACCTAATGCATCCTTTAGTATAACTGCTTTTTATTAGTGACATGTTTTACTCAAATTCCCAACCATACAGTTTAAATTTTAGACTACCCCACAAACCAGTAGTGTAGAAACTCAAAACAAATTTTTTTTAACTTAAATTTTTACAAGTTGCATCCCAAAGTTTATTGTTCAAATTAAGGCCTCTGAATTTCTTTGATCATTGTTCTCCTAGTCCTACAAAAACTGTAATAAAAAGGGGCAGTTAGATCCAGTAGTCAAGGTCAGACAGACGGAGGGAAGGTTCAAAACATTTATTAACACAAAAACACATAACGGAACAGAAGCGGGCTGCTGTGGATCTGCGAACCGCAGCTGCTACAGGGGGAGGCGGTGCACCGCCCAATCACTGACACTCTGGAGGGAGAAACACAGGTGGGTGACCACAATCATCTGATGGGAGATGATTATCTGTGTGAGTCACTTATCTGGTTAAACAGATCGGTCCATCCTTTCAGAGGAAGGCAGCCGATGGACTGCAAAACAAGCTGCGGCGCAGAGCCGAACAGAGTGTCTCTGATGCAGCAACATCAGTGAGCGGGCAGGAATCCGATCAAGGTCAGGTAAAACGGATCAGACGGGAACAGTTCTGTGATCCAGGAGTCCGTAGCCCGACCAGGGGTTCTGATTCACACACCAACAGACAGATCCAGGGTTACAGGATTCCTCAGAGCGTTCAGGCAGGTTCAGAGTTCAATGAGTACAGCAGTGCGTTCAGGCAGACAAACGCAGATGCAGACAGGCAGGCTCAGTGCTTCAGGGACAGAGACAAGATAATGGTACCATTATAAATGCATAACTTTAAACTGTACTTGGGACTTTAAACTAGCTTCCCCCCGCCAAGCCAAAACAGGAACTGAGAGCACTCGGCAGGAAGGAGCCAGAACACGATCAGGACACGAGAAGACAAACACCAAAACCCTCTCAAGCCACTGGCCTCCTGGGATGGGGGACACAAACCTTTGAATAACAAAAAACTAACGAAACAAACATACCATAAATCCTCTAATATAGGCCGGGGCCTTTATTTCACTCAGGTGCATCTTGGTCCAGGCCATTATTGGAAGGAGGCCAGAATTAGAGGTAGGCCTCTATTTCTATTTGATCCAACAGTCTACCAGTGGAATGAATAAAAAACAGATTTTGTGTCTCTTTGAACCTATAAAATACTAGCTTCATTTACTGAAAAAGTACTGTTACCATAGCGATATACAGAACATTATTCAGACATCTTCCAGCAGCTGCAATTTTTCTGCACGGCAATACGAAAAAAGAAAAAAAAAAGACACAGAAGGGAATCTCGGACAAACTGACTTGCAAAACAAAGCTTTTTAAAAAATTAATGGAAACTGTTCTGCCATCACAATGAAATGTTATTTAAGGCAGGCAAAGTGGAAGTAGGCTACCAGTATCGTATATTCAGAACAACGAAGGCAACGAAATTCAGTCATTTTAACGCTGCCTGGTTACCAGACCTACCGGTGATCACATGTGTCTTTCAGATCAGAACGATTGTTTAAGGCCACTGCGATCTCTGTGTAAGGATGGGACTTCCCATGCTAATGGCTTGGATTCATTAGCAAACACTGCCCCCCTGTGGTACTTGTGTGTTACTATCACAGATTGTTGAGGACTGCCCAGGATCTGTATCTGCATGTATCTACTCTCATTTTTTATTGAAAACCTTAGATGTAACCCTGACTAACAAAAGAAAAGAGATTTCTAAATCCAGATGATTATTTATCCAGTTGAACTACAGGTTTCTGGTTCTGATGGGAATATCAGACTCCAGATTTACAGCTATTTGCATTTTCAATTTTAAAAATAAATGTTAGAAAAGTTCAAGGTGTCAGTGAGTATCTGTCATTTCCCTTCAGGTTTGTTACACCCAACCGCAAGTCTGAGATCTGCTTTACCCCACGGACTCCAACGCCGTTCAAAAACGCCATGGAGAAGTACGGCCCTCTGCAGCCTCTGGTGAGTGTTGGCTTCGGCTTTCCAAAGAGCAGCCCTTAGCTCTGTCTTTTGGATTCAACGTCATTTCCTGCTTCTCTTTCTCAGCCACAGACTCCAAACCTTGAAGATGACATCAATGAGGTCATCCTCAGAGATGCAGGAGTAACCTCTTTGGTCATACAGGAGACGCCACCGGATCCAAGGCGCAAAACAATGGTACTGCTTCAGCTCTGTGAAAATCAGTGGGCTATAGAACACATGGTGATCATTAATTTATCAGATTATTTGGAGACCAGTCCCTGAATTAAGAGCTTAAAACTAATTTAGGTCTAGCCCTAATTCAGAAATGAATGGTGTGGACCTGCAGTGGTAATCAACTGTACTAGATACACAGTGAGGAAAATAAGTATTTGAACACCTGCTATTTTTCTAATTCTCCCACTTAGAAATCGTGGAGGACTCTGAAATTGTCATCATAGGTGCATGTCCAGGGTGAGAGACATAATCTTAAAAAAAATATCCAGAAATCACAAATTTTTTTTTTTTACTATTTATTTGTATCATACAGCTGCAAATAAGTATTTCAACACCGGAGAAAATCCATGGTATTATTTGGTACAGTAGCCTTTGTTTTCAATTACAGAGGTCAAAATATTTCCTGTAATTTTTCACTGGGTTTGCACACTCTGCAGGAGGGATTTTGGCCCAATTCTTCGCACAGATCTTCTCTAGATCAGTCCGGTTTCTCGGCTGTCACTGAGAAAAATGGAGATCAAAGATTCTCTATTGGGTTTAGTTCTGGAGACCGGCTAGGCCACGGCAGAACTTTGATAGGCTTCACTCAGAGCCACTCCTTGGTTATCCTGGCTGTGTGCTTCAGGTCATTGTCATGTTGGGAGACCCAGCCTCCACCCATCTTCAATGCTCTGAGGGAAGGAGGTTGTTCCCCATCTGGCAATACATTGCCCTGGTCATCCTCTCCTTAACACAGTGCAGTTGCCCTGTCCAGTGTGCAGAAAAACACCCGCAAAGCCTGATGCTACCACCCCCATGCTTCACAGTAGGGATGGTGTTCTTGGAATGGTACTCATCATTCTTCTTCCTCCAAACATGGTTAGTGTAATTATGACCAAAAAGTTAATTTGGACTCATCTGACTACATGACTTTCTCCCATGACACCTCTGGATCATCCAAATGGTCGTTGGCAGACAGGCTTTGACATGTGCTGGTTCTAGCAGGGGAACCTTACGTGCCATGCATGATTTCAAATTTCATCTTAGAGTATGACCAGCAGTAACTGTGGAAACGGTGCGCCTGGCTCTTTTTCAGGTCATTGGCCAGCTCCTCCTGTGTAGTAATTGAGACCCCACAAGGTCAGATCTTGCATTGAGCCCCAGTCCAAGGGAGATTGATAGCCCTGTTCAGCTTCTTCCATTTCCTAATGATTGCTCCTACAGTGAAATACAGACATTCCTGCTCCGATTTTTATGCTCAGTCAGGTCTTCTCTTTGTGTTTGACATCAGAATCGCCCTCCTATGAATAAAGTACGGAAGTCCCTGGCTCTAGATGTCAAGGAGGTGATCCCAAAGTCTAAACGCAAATGCAGCAAAGCAGAGGCCAGACGCACCATTAAGGTAACGTGGGAAAGAACAAAACTAGTTTTAATGTAGACTGAACCCTCCTAAATTATGAGCTCTGTGTCTCTCTTTGGTCGCAGGAAGAACCTGTTACAGTTTGTTTCAACTCCTCGTCGTTTTACAGCCAGAGGCCTGAAAACATCTTAGACCAGGGCTTTTTGATGGGACCAAGTGACACGAGCATATTTCCCAGTGCTGTGCCTCCTGCACCTGTAAGTTCCTTAGTGTTCATGTAGAATTTGAGTAATGTAGATTAAAAACCAAAAAAGGTTGTTTCATGTTATTTTAATTATTTGCAGATGTCAAAAGAATGGATGAAAGTTGTTTGCGGGCAAACTAAAGACCAGCTGACCATGACGGAGAAAGCAAGGCGTTACCTTAGCTCTCTGAAGAGCCATACTCCCAGCCGGGCTCTAATTCTGTCCTAAGAATCGTCTGCCTCACAGTGGGATGTGGTTTAAAGATAAAATGGGCAGGAATATTGTCTTATTATTGTTGTTTATAGGTGTTAAAAAAAGAATGATGGTAAGATTTAAAGACATGGGTAAAGTTTTAAATTGGTGAAAAGCCAGAGTTTTTGTGAGTGAACTTTCTGTAATGTGATCTTCAAATTCAGGTAGCACCTCAATAATCCATCCACATGCAGAGAAACTAGCATATTGTAAACTTACATGAATAAGGCTGATCCTCTACTTATTAGAAAGACAAAGTTGGTTTAGCCCTGTAATTTTTATGCTGCATGAATCATAAAACGGAGTACTTTGCTGAGCACTGTTGAGAAGGATGATCTATTTGTCGTTTGTAAATATATTCAGCCTAACTTGTTTTACTGTGTTTTTTCAAAAGTTGAAATAAAAACTAATTGCATGTTAAGCAGGTGTTGGGTCTTATGTGCATCCTATTAGGCTTAACAAAACCAGGCTTTATCTTAAAATGACAAACTAAGCTAACATTTTCTGCTTTTTAGAAAATCTATTTTGCGTTATATGAATTTAGAAAAGGGAAATGCATAGTTGAATTAAAAATGCTGATGTTTCTGACAATCTAAATTTAATGTAATATAAATCTCTTTATTGTCCCACAGTGGGGTAATTCACACTGCATTTGAACCCATCCCCTTGGGGAGCAGTGGGCTGCCATTGTGCAGCACCTGTGGAGCAGTGTGGCAGTAAAGGGTTTTGGTTACAGAACCCAGACTGCAGGCTGTGGGGCCCCAACACTCCACAATTTCAGCTGCCAACCTTGTGTGTTGTAGAATTCAGAGCAAAAATAGCAAGTTACTTAAATATTAAGTGATAACTCTGTTTACAATTACACACTAAACCTCAAAATTATGAATGAAAACCCCTAAGAAAAGTCAATGTTTCTAAGTTGAACCATTATGATTTGTTTTTGGACATTGTTTTGACAAATCCCACTGAGTGACTGGAATATGAACTCTTTCATTTCTTTAAGTTCTTTACAGCTACAAAGCTTAACCATGATTATATGTACATGATTGGTACATGATTTTTACAAAATATTAAAAAGTAATACATTTCAGACAAACTCAATAAATATTGAAGGTTTTAATGTATCCACATATTTTGGCCTGTTAAATTAATACCCACACATCTGAGTTGAATTAAAATCCACAAAGACGGCGTGTCAAATCTGAACTTGTATTTGTTTTGGTTATTCAGTCTGTGTTTGGTTCTGGTAGACCTGCTGCATTCGGTTTGAAATTTAAGCAAACAATTTTACATCAGATCACAAAACTGTTTTTAAGCAGATAATTACATCAATATGAACAGAATTTCGAACACATTGTCCTTCCCTTCTGAAAAATCCCCTATATTTGTTTATAAAATATTTCTTGAAAACGAACTGGTTAGAATATGTAGAAATTCCTTCTGTCATCCTGATTGACTCTGGAACTAAATCAGAGATATCAACCTACTCACAAAATAGCCTATTTCCCATAAGAAAGCTCTGAATGAGCTAGAAAGTTAAAAAAAAAAAAAGTTTTAATATTTCAGCTTTTTCTAGAAACATAAGGTATAGAAAAATAAATAGCCCCCTTCCCCCAACAAAACTAAAGATAAAAGAACAGGATAGTAGAACAGAAATATCCATTGTTCTCCCACAGAGGGGATATTCAGGTGTGTCAGATGCAAAGCAGATAGGCAAATAATAGCATACAGGTCCACATAAAACCTATTAGAAAACACAGAAGTTGAAATAGACTGGACAGCAAAATAGTTAAAATTACATTTTTACCCAATTCATGGTAAAAGAAATACTTTAGATAAAGCTCAGGATTTAATTAATAGATTATAGGGGTCATGTTCCCTATATTTACAAAGGAAAAGAAAAATGTCTTTGTCATACAAGTATACATGAGACTAAACAAATACAAAAAATAAAAAAGGTTAACAAAGGTTTATATATATATATATATATATATATATATATATATATATATATATATATATATATATATATATATATAGTGTGTGTGTGTGTGTGTAAGACACAGAAGACACAATCCTTCATAAGATCAAATAAAAATGTTAAAGATACAAAAGAAAATCGTAGCCTATGTACAGATATTTTATCTATTTACAGATATTTTTAAAGTAAATGCAAGCACGAAGGGATTGGAAATTCATATCCCATCGTGCTTTTATTTTGAAAGCAATCTTTGGAGGCGGAAGTCCTCTCTAAGCTGACAGCTCTGAGACACCGGAAGCAAATGCGGTTTGGTGACGCTGCATTAGGCTGCAAGACATGTTTCGGTCAAGTAAGTATTTTCTAGCTAAAAATGTAACATTTTGTATTAAAATTTCAAATATATAATTTTATTTTTTTCCTAATCGATTATCAAGTTATACATTTATATGAAAACAATGCTCGCTGCACGGCGCATCCTTTCGATTTTAGCCTATTCGTTTGTTAGCTAACATTTGAATCGACTGCGAGGCAAAGCCTTATTTTACCGAATGAATGAATTGATGAATGATGAATGAACATAGGATAATTCGGTAGTTTATTGACCTGGACCGTGTATAATGCTTATTGTTAACCCTGTGCCCATGCTAGCTAATGGTTTAGCTTACCCCGGTTGTCTGTTAGCAGAGCTATTCGGGTTGCTGCTCCTGAGCCTGGCTCTTCCCGGAGCTCAGGCGCTTACGCCGTCTCACCACCTGTCCCTTTCTGATGTGGGTCGGCTGCAAAACCTCCTTAACCAAGAATACACCGACCTGGAGTCCGCATACTACTCTGTGGTTGGCCTCTCCAAGCTCGGAGCGGCTGTTCCAAATCCTGCAGTAAGATATCACTGTGACCGTGGGCTGCCCGTTGTTCTGAGTGAAAACTGTTTATCTTCGTGTATTTCCAGTTCCAGCTTTATAACTGTAAAGTGGGTATTTCCAATTATCTGTTTTCCAGCAAGTTTGTCAGTTCCTGAAATCCCAGCTCGACTCCAGTAGTGTTGATTCTCTGTTCTTCGCTGCTGAAACCAGTCAGGCCATTTCTGGATGCGAGGTATGAACATGTTATCCTTCCCACTTAATGTCATTATATCATTAAACGGACATAAATGTCTTAATTTGTAATTATACTGGATAATCTGAAATATTTAGTTATTAATTCATTCAAACCTGAGGAAGTAGCAGCAATTTTGTAAAAATTTAGATCAGGTTTTATTTGTCTTAAATGTATATAGGAGGATCTTTTATTTCTGGGTGGATCATCTAAATAACTGGTCCTCCTTATTGTCAATCATTCTGGTGATATGTTTACTTAAGGCTGTTCTATGTGCGTATCCCCTGTTAGCTAGCTATCTTTTTCTGTGCATGCGCACTTTCAGACATATATGTGGTGAGCTACGGTTTACACTTTACAAAGTGTATGAGGTGAAAAGAAAGGCCTGAGAAGAGGCAGATATATCCCATAATGCTTTGCCAGAGCTCTCCTCGCAAAGCACTATGGGATTTGCTGTTATAGAGGCAGCAGTAACTAATGATAAAAAGCACAGTGGAGCAAAAAGCAGTGATCATCTGTCCGAACGGTACGTTATCAGAGTTCACTATAAAGTCCACTACATAGTCCCGCTCTATATAGTGATTGAGGGTTTTAGTAGTTAGGGCGGATGTTCGGGCACAGTTAGCTTGCATTAACGATGCAAACAGCAACTTTTAAACAGCGTGCACAAGTAGAAAGGGGCTCGTTCATGCTCTGGCACGCGTTTAATAGGTGTTCCCTTTCGGGAGCGGCTACAGGGTTGTGCGTGTACTTTTTTTTTTTTCTCAAAAATTCCTGAAATTTTTCCACTCTACCTTTTAGTAAATATTTAGGGTCTACATTTACTGTTACAATTTTAATTGGTATTAAGATGTCTTTTTTTTTTTTTTTTTTTTCTACTGTTTTCTTTATTATGGAAAATTGCAATGTAAAAAAAGAGCTAAGTACTACATTTACCAAAGGCTACGTTCACACTGCAGGCCTTGATGCTCAATTCCGATTTTTTGCAAAATCTGAATTTTTTTTTTTTTACTACGTTGCTGTTCATATTTCCATATATATGCGACTTGTATGTGATCTCCTGTGTGAACTGCAGTCACACAACTTAAGTGTCCCGCATTCGCAGGAGTAAAGATGGATGGTAGTGCCGGCGCGCATCTAGCAATCTCATCCAACCATTAAAACACAATCTTTTCATTATGGTGAAACATAAATACTGCTCTCCGCATCATCATCTGCCATGGTTGTTGTTTTTCTTGCCGCTTCTGCGTAGCAAGACGCATAATAGTGACCTTTGGCAGGTATTACTGGCATTCAGGTCGGATGAATGCGACCTGGCCGTCACAGGTCGCATTTGAAAAGATCAGATTCATATCGGATCCAGGACCACATAGCCAAGTGGCCTGGGTCGCATTGGAAAAAATCGGATCTGTGTTGTTCAGACTGCCATGAAAACATGAGATCCAGGTCGCATATAGGCAAAAATCTGATTTGGGTCACTTCAGGCTGCAGTGTGAACGTAGCCAAAAAGAAAATTACTAGAAGTTGTCACGATATTAAAATTTTCAACTCGATACAGATACTCAGGAAAAGTAGTTGATGCTTGATACCACAAAGACCCCAAAATTTAACAGAAATATGAAAAAAATAAATAAATACAATAAACAATAAGAACAATATTTTGAGGTTGCATGCTGTGCACAATATTAAGCAACCTTGATACAAGACTAACACAATTAACTTAAGTGTTCCTTCCTTGGCTATGTTTTGCACACATAACAATGACACTAGCCAAACCAGTTAACAAACAAAAATAATTCTCAGCAGCTGCACCTGTTACAAAAAAAGTCTGAAACTGTAAAATGCACAGAATTATTCAATCACACTGTCTTCAGAAAGTGCATTTTCCTCTATTCTGCACTCTAGATGAATGACTGTTTAGGTTCCACTGGTGGTAGCACTGTATCGATACTTATAAAAATAAGTATTGTATCCGGATACGTTTTAGCATCGATACTTTTTTGAATATCGATACTTTTGACAACACTACTAGAAGCACATACCTACTCAGAAATAAAAGTCAAACCGAAAACAAACTCAAATCAAGAATGCAAATGCAATATTTACCTATTAAAGTGGCTGATCAGTTTATCAGTTTGTCAAATGATCAATCTGAAATAGTCAATTCTCAATTAGTGAAAACTAAAGCAGGCAGACCTGAGACATCTCAACCTCTGATTGATCGACAGACTTTGAAAGATCATAGGGGTTTTCAGGGAAGGAAACAGTTCTGGAAATATTCCCGGAAAATATTAGAAAACATAAGATTGTTTAAAATAATTAAGAGTAAAAAAAAAAAAAAAAAAAAC